GCATTGAGTTGGGGACACCAGGGATGGGTCCATTTTGGGGACAAGGTCAAGACGGGATTGGGGACACCAGGGACGGGTCCATGTTGGGGACAAAGTTGCATTGAGTTGGGTACACCAGGGATGGGTCAGTGTTGGGGACAAGGTCAAGACGGGATTGGGGACACCAGGGATGGGTCCACATGGGAGCCAGGGCCACCTTGGGGCCAGGACCATGTGAGGGCCGTGCCGGTGCAGGGCAGCCGTGCCCCACGGTGTCCCCCCGTGTCCCCGCGTGTCCCCGCGTCCCCTGCCAGGTACTGCCTCATGCAGTCCATCAAGCACTGCCAGGTGCAGCGCGAGAGCCTGGTGCGCGCGGGCAAGAAGATCGCCTACCAGGGCCGCGTCAAGGACGAGCCGGCCTACTACTGCAACGAGTGCGACGTGAGTGCCGCGGGGACACGGGACATGGGATGTGGGGACAGGGACAGGCCACGGGGACACGGCCATGGGGACACGGGGACAGGGACAGGCCACCGGCATTGCCATGGGCACAGCCATGGGGACGTGGGGATGGGGACACAGGGACACAGCCAGGCCACCGACATGGCCACGGGGACACAGACACGGAGACACGGCCATGGGGACACGGGGACCTGGCCAGGCTGCCAGCACGGCCATGGGGACACAGCCGTGGGGACACGACCTTGGGGACACAGGGACAAGGCCAGGCCACTGGCATGGCTGTGGGGATGGTCCTGGGGACATGGCCATGGAAATGGGCCATGGGGATGGGTCCTGGAGGTGGTTAATGGGGACAAGACCATGGAGACAGATGGTCCCTAAGGAAGAGCCACAGGGCCAAGGTCATGGGGATGGTCCGTACGGACAAGTCCATGAGGGCGTGGCCATGGGGACAAGGCCATGGGGATGGTCCTTGGAGCCAAGGCCATGGGAGTGGGCCATGGGGACAAGGTCATGGGGACAAGGTCGTGGAGATGGGCCACTGGGATGGCCAATGGGGCCAAGTCCATGAGGTCAGTCAATGGGAATGGTCTTTGGGGCCAAGGCCATGGGGATGATCCTTCGGGTTGGCCAGTGGGGACATGGGTCCATGAGGATGAGGTGGTAGGGCCAAGGCCATGGGGAGGGGCCATTGGGATGGTGACCGGGACCAGTGAGTCCATGGGGCCAAGGCCATGGGGATGGTCTGTTGGGTTGACCAATAGAGCCAAGGCCATGGGGATGGTCTGTTGGGTTGGCCAATGGGGCTGAGGTCATGGGCCCAGTCAATGGGGATGGTCCATGGGGCCAAGGCCATGGGGATGGTCTGTTGGGTTGGCCAATGGGGCCAAGACCATGGGAATGGTCTGTTGGGTTGACCAATGGGGCCAAGGCCATGAGAATGGTCTGTTGGGTTGACCAATGGGGCCAAGGCCATGGGCGCAGTCAACGGGGATGGTCCATGGGGCCAAGGCCATGGGGCCAAGGCCATGGGGATGGTCTGTTGGGTTGGCCAATGGGGCCAAGGCCATGGGGCCAAGGCCATGGGGATGGTCTGTTGGGTTGGCCAATGGGGCCGAGGCCATGGGGATGGTCTGTTGGGTTGACCAATGGGGCCAAGGCCATGGGCGCAGTCAACGGGGGTGGTCCATGGGGCCAAGGCCATGGGGCCAAGGCCATGGGGATGGTCTGTTGGGTTGGCCAATGGGGCCGAGGTCATGGGCGCAGTCAACGGGGATGGTCCCTGGGGCCAAGGNATGGGGATGGTCTGTTGGGTTGGCCAATGGGGCCGAGGTCATGGGCGCAGTCAACGGGGATGGTCCCTGGGGCCAAGGCCATGGGGATGGTCTGTTGGGTTGGCCAATGGGGCCAAGGCCATGGGGCCAAGGCCATGGGGATGGTCTGTTGGGTTGGCCAATAGGGCCAAGGCCATGGGCGCAGTCAACGGGGATGGTCCATGGGGCCAAGGCCATGGGGATGGTCTGTTGGGTTGGCCAATAGGGCCAAGGCCATGGGCGCAGTCAATGGGGATGGTCCATGGGGCCAAGGCCATGGGGCGGCGGGGCCGGGCGCGGGGAGCCGGGGCCAAGGCTCGTGCCGCAGGTGGAGGTCTTCAACATCCTGTTCGTGACGAGCGAGACGGGCGGGCGCAACACGTACCTGGTGCACTGCGAGGGCTGCGCGCGGCGCCGCAGCAGCGCCCTGCACGGCGTCGTCGTCCTCGAGCAGTACAAGACCGAGGAGCTCATGCAGATCTACGACGGCTTCACGCTGGTGGGTGACCGCCGCGCCCGGGGACACCCAGGGACAGCCCCCAACCAGGGACACCCAGGGCCAACCCCTTGGGGACACCGAGGGCTGACCTCCAACCAGGGACACCCAGGGACAGCCCCCCAGGGACACCCCAGGGCCCTGAGCCAACCCCGTCTTGCTGGGGATCCTGTGTCCCCCAGTGTCCCCATCCCCGTCCCAGTGTCACCCACCTCCCGGTCCCCTCCCCATGGGTCCCCCCAGTGTCCCCATGCCCTCCTGGTGTCACCCGCGGCCCCGGGCCCCTCCCCATGGGTCCCGTGTCCCCCAGTGTCCCCATCCCTTTCCAGCGTCACCCGCAGCCCTGGTCCCTTCCCTGTGTCCCCCAGTGTCCCCATCCCTGTCCCAGTGTCACCCACAGCCTTGTCCCCTCCCCGTGGGTCCCATGTCCCCCAGTGTCCCCATCCCCGTCCCAACGTCACCCACGGACCCGGTCCGCTCCCCATGGGTCCCATGTCCCCCAGTGTCCCCATGCCCTCCCGGTGTCACCACAGCCCTGCTCCCTTCCCTGTGTCCCCCAGTGTCCCCATCCCCGTCCCAGTGTCACCCACAGCCCTGTCCCCTCCCCATGGGTCCCATGTCCCCC